CATTTCGACTGTTTTCTCCTGATAGGCCCTTTTCTTTGGCCTCGCCCAAAAAACTGTCGACTTCCTCTCTCAATGTTGTCACCGTTACCCATGTAATTTCGCTCGTAAGGAGATTCTTTGTTTGGTACGAAGGTCGATAAACTTTAGCAAACTACCCCTATTTTTGGTATTGCCTAATGAGCGACTGAGGTTACAAGGTCCTTTTGCATCATGCAGGGGAGTGTAAAAAATTGTCAGCTTGCTTACTTAAGCTGTGAAATTCGTTCAGCAAATCATGAAAAATTGGTTCTCTTCGTAAGTTTGAAAGTCCCCTACAGCATGCCCAACAAAGGCAACTGCATCTATAGCGTTGGAAATAAAGGGTTTTACGCTATTTCCGTCCATATTTTGACCACCTACCAAAAGGTCACAGGTGGTTTGCAATGAAAACGATGGTTTTTGAAGAACTCTTTGAATTTTGCTCAATCTTATGTCACTCCGTTTTCTTGTGTGCAGCCTTTGATCCCAGATTTATTGGTTTACTTTTGGCACTGACATTCTTTCGTTGTTTTCAGGCTTGTGGTACTCAGCCAATATAGTTTTAAGTTTATTGCTGGATAGCACCAGGCCCCATGTTTTGTTTGAAATGTTATGAATTCTTGGCCCTGCTGAGACAGCCTCAGATAAATTGAGTTCAATCTCTTTTAGTAGGGCTGTATTATTAAACTAATTTTTATTACTGGTCTTACCTGATATTACTGGTCTTACCTGATGACGGGGTTGCGGTTGACTCACCTACCTTTTGCGCATTTTGGCGCAACCGTTTTCCAAGAAAGCTTGGTGGTCTGCGTTGGATGCTCTTAAGCCCACTGAATCAACATAATCGTCCAGACTGGTTTTCAGAATGCTCATCATGTTTATGCCAACTAGTTGAAGGTGTATTGTTCGACTTAACCATTTTTTGCTATATGTATGCTTAAGCGTTTCAACAGACTGTACAGTTTGATCATTTTTCTTCATGCTCCGAATTGTTGAAAATAAGATCTGTTACAGGCTAATAGGTACAAATTGTTAGTCTATAATACAAATTTATTGATAATCACTAGAACGACTTTACTTACCATTCAAAACATTTATAATCGACTAGAATGGTCAATATAATTACCTGTTTTACTTAAAGGTCTTTGATGATACGGATGCGAAACCCAAAAGCGCATGCGTGCTTCTCATGTTAATCAGTAGTGACGTAAATTGATGACAGGAAAGAATTATGAGAATAATAGAAAAAGAGAAAACATAAGTAGCGACTCGCATATTTGTGGAAGTTTCTCTGAGAACACTCAACGATTAGTTGCACGTATAAGATAAAAACGATTCACGATCATCGATGTTTAGAAAAAGTTATTATATATTGCATTACATTAATCAGTTATGAAAGGTAATATCGTTTATTTTTTTCATAAATTGGGGAGTGCTACCCCCTCCTCCTTGTGAAGCATTTTTTAAATCGTTCACCTCAAATGACCTTATGCTTTGGTAATTTTATACGCTTGATCATTGCAAAACGTACCAGAAATGCAAGCTCTCAGATTACTATAAAATGAAGTCCTTGTGTTTCCAAAATGGACATTTTATTTCGTTTGATATTTGCCATGCTAGTTTTTGACAGAACCCCACCACCACCACCACCACCCACCGCCACCACCTAAGCCACCACCTAAACCCCCACCTCCTTATTAAAATTTTGGCAGTGCCTTCGTGGCAGATACACAATTGTGTACGTAATATTTGAAAAGCAAAGCCTAAAATCATAGAATTGTATGTATTAGTCAAAGACCTGTATAATAGCCTATTCACATGATCCGATTTCGTAAGCTCACTTTATATGTGTTCATGCGATCCGTCTTTTAAGATCCCACAAATCGGATCGTGTGAACGGGTCTTAATGATTTGTATGTCACTTGCATATGTGCAGAAATATTCTTGGTAGAGACTGAATTTTCATATTTTCAAAAAATTCACATGAGACAAAAAAGAACAGTTAACTCACTCTAATCACGCATTATTTGAAAGTGATATTGTTTTGTTCATTTGCTTATTAAAATTTTGGCAGTGCCTTCGTGGCAGATACACAATTGTGTACGTAATATTTGAAAAGCAAAGCCTAAAATCATAGAATTGTATGTATTAGTCAAAGACCTGTATAATAGCCTATTCACATGATCCGATTTGTCGGATAAGATTGTTTCGGTTCCGACATTTTTGATTGCTTGTTTAGACGTTCCGATGATTTTATTGACATTTATATTCGTTTGGATATTTATAGTCGTGTGAGCAGCCATTTGTTATCCAGTAAATTTATCGATATATATTTTTGTATTTTTTGTTGTTGTTTCCAAGTCTTTTTCAAATCTATGTAATTTAATTACTCGGCTTCCCCTGATCTTGTCAGATGAACATAGAACAAGTTTTATTCCTATCCAATTTTTTAGAGTGACGTTTCCGAATATCGTAAGCTCACTTTATATGTGTTCATGCGATCCGTCTTTTAAGATCCCACAAATCGGATCGTGTGAACGGGTCTTAATATGTCATAATATCATATGTCACTTGCATATGTGCAGAATATCATATGTCACTTAATATCATATCACTTAATATCACTTAATATCATATGTCACTTGCATATGTGCAGAAATATTCTTGGTAGAGACTGAATTTTCATATTTTCAAAAAATTCACATGAGACAAAAAAGAACAGTTAACTTACTCTAATCACGCATTATTTGAAAGTGATATTGTTTTGTTCATTGACATACGGTGGACTATATTTTACCATCCAAAACACATCTTAGCCATATTTTGCCGTCTTACAAGCATTTGTTGATTCTTTTGCATTTTTCGTGACTGTTGATGACAAATAAAAATTAAAACTTTGTCCCAATTTCGTCATTTTATGACGCAGTGCAGTGCCTTTTATCTTGCATATTTTGTACACGGCATTCTATCATAATTGTTGACATTCCAAAAAGTCGTCGCTTCTCTGCTCGAATCAATCACACTTCTTGGCACTTCTCATATATTTTGATTGTAGTAACGATGATAAATACGTTGTAATTAAGTCCAAATTGAAAAGTGGAAAAAGATTGTGAGGAAAAAAGCACTCATATCTCATTTAGGAGCCAGCTCAAATTACAAAACTTAAGAATCATGCCACAAATGATGTTGATCTACTTTATAACATTTTTATGAAAAGTTTGCTTCTGGCCAATGTAAATCATTGCAAATTTTTTAGCAATGTTCAATGTTTATTACACACAATGTTCAATGTTTATTAAAAATAAAATGGATATAAAACTAAAAATTTAAGTTTCAGAAAAAGAATATTTTACACCGGCAAACTTTTGTAAGGAATTAATTTTTCTGGAAAGTGAACAAAACTTTTGTGAAATACATATTCCCTCGTCATGTTTCTCACGTGAGTAAACAGATTTAGACTTGAGGATGCGAAGTCTAAGACGACGTGAATATTACGTAATCTATCATGAGCTTCCGGTTGTTTTACTTCGGCCGCCTTTGTGACGTCGTCTTATTATTTTTTATGACGTGAAACTTGCTATTTTTACGTCCTCTCGAAGACGTTCGTTATTATTTTTTCTCTTTCAAATGTAAGTCTATGGAAATTCATGACTTGCATGTTTTGATAGTTTAATATTGAAGCAATTCAGCTAAAACTTGTGTGTTTTTGCATTCTAATTTACCCATTGAACTATAATAGATGGAAGGCAACCTAAAATAGAAACGCCAAATCCTTTTTTTAAGCCAAATTTGACCTCCAAACACTCTGCACGTTACGTGAGATTTGTTAAAGAAACCTGTCTATACCAATAGTTTTTAGCGAGGTCTTTTTCTGTTTCGTTCAACAATAAACTCATAAAGTATTGAGGTATGAAAGGTTATGGAGCTTGATCTTTAATCAGTCAATTAGGATGCTTTCTATTAAATACGCATTTTGACATGGAAAATGTCAACGGTGGAAATAGTGAAAAACAATGACATCACTCATTTTATACACATCTCAAACAATGCATCAAGTACTAGTTTATTTCGAAAGAATTCAACTTGATATCTCCATTAACTTACATGAGTTTCTCCTTGGAATATTTGGGATTTGTAAGTAAACCTATTTCAAGAAACCATTAGTTATTGTAAAAAATGATTTTCGAAATAATCATGTACGTATGTTTTTAATTGTATGAAATGCAAAAAAGTATTAGATACATATAAAATAAAATGCTTTTGAAGGATTTCGTTTGCTTGTGCATCAATTTATCTAATAGATGATGGGTATAATTTCATTTATGTTTTAAAACCAAATCTCATGTAAGGTTTTACTAAAATTGCTTTTTCTCTTCTCTAACTTTCTACGTCGAAGAAGTAATAATGGTTTCCGTGAAAAATATTTTCCAAAACTGATATTTGGTTAAAATTTTATTTGCTTTTTTATGTTATACGTACGAATTTCGTAAGTATCTTGCACATAATAGTTGCTACTTTGGAACAAAAACGTTTCAGTTTTTAACTTTTTGTCATGTAAAACAAACAATTACAGCAAAATGCCTTCTAGCTATGGTTAGCTATGAGTTCCTTTACAAAAATTTAAGTGCCGAAAATAGTGTGTGCGTGATGTTAAGTTTCGTTTGCCAAATTAAAACAAAAAAGATTTGTTTTTGGAGTTTCGTAATTCGTACAAGTTATTTTCTCGTCCGCTACTATTAGCCGTGTGTTTACCAATGAAATGAATACAACTGCAACGCTACCTTCAGATTGTTTTGATGAAGCCAAATTTTGTGCGACTTTATTTCCAGACACGCAGGTGCATTTCTATTTTGTAAAGATTTTTGTTTTCTCTTATTCTGCATAATATCTAACATCGCAAGTAAAGGTATTTCTGTTATGAAAATAACTTAAAGAATATTTTTTACATGTATATATTGAGAATATTTTTGTTTTGTTTGAAGGCTCTTTTAAAAGCTGAGAAGTGGGCAAAGGAAAACGATTGTCCGTTCCCTCCAATTGAAAATAACCCAGTGCTGAACAATCCTGTAATTGAAGAATGCTATGTGTTTGAAGACCCATGCAATCCAAACTGTCCGATCATATTTCATTTTCCAATCATAAACAAGAGTTTCAAAGTATTTGAAAAACCAGGTAGAATACTTAGTACAATTATTTGTTGTCTTTGCAAATTGTCTTTGGTACGATATTAGAAACGAGTCAGGCTTTTGTCTTATTACTTTTAGCACTTATAATTTCTAACTTAGCTCAGAAAAATCCCGAAATTGACTTTTATGGCTTCTTCATAGCAAGACACCCAAGTAAAGCTATTTTAACAATTTATTATTTATAACACTTTTGTCGGTAATGAATCAAGTAAAGTTGAATAAATTGTCGCCCGTTGTTAAGTTTGGTTAATAACCAGTTGATAACAATATTTTTACAAACCAGCTATTTTCTTACTAAAGAATACGCATGCAACATGCATGTTTTTCTTATTTTAATATTGTTTCTTTTTGGTGTTCCATGGCCAAATTATGTAAACATATTCACTGTTTCATATAGCATATCGAAGAACAATAGAGAGTAAGAAAAAAGAAATAATGTTAAATACTGCCTAAATTAGGTATTGGCATTGTAAATCACAACTAGGTAGTTGAAAAAAGAACTGTTGAGAACCGAAATTACGATGTAAATCAAATAACAACATACATTTCGGCAGTCTTTTTATTAGATGCCATAAGTGATTTAATGAAACTAAAAACCTAATTTTTTTTAAAGCAAAGATCATACGAACTTAATTATACATTGTTCATTAATAAGTAGCTGAAAGACGCAAATTATATTTTTATAATTTAAATAAACTCAAGTTATATTTCACTCACTGACATTTACTTTTATATCATTGTTTTGTCATTTCAAGGAGTACGTCGTGTGACAGAAAAGAGTAAGAAATTTGGAAACTTTTCCATCTTTGACGATCCCAATCAACCGTATTCATCTTTCAATTTCACATACAGTCACGAACAGTTCGACCGTCTTCATCAGCTGATGAAATACAACACATTGGCAAATATCAAAATGATCAAGGAGAAGATTTTAGCTCGAATACGGCAACCTCGCTAAGAAAAAAGCAAAATTTTCTTAAATAATTACTGATATATACTTGTTTTTTGATAAATTTGATGTACTGATCGCGACAAAAAATTTTCGTACTGTATTTTTGCTATCCAACGGAATGCAAAAAGCCAAAATATTTTATTGCCTCTCACCACATGTCAAACTTTCAGAACTTGTGATTTTGGCATTTATCCGCAATTACCTTTAAATAAATATACAAACAAGCTTCTTTGTAATTAATGTCTTTGAAACAAATGTACTTCAATGTACACAGTTTTAAATCAGCACGAATTGTTCATGTAATGATAGATAAAAATCTGAGCTAATCAAATAGAAGTTGAGGCGCTGAATACGAATCTGAAAACAGAATTTCATTTAACTTCTTCAAACCGATTTTATAGCTCTCCAAAGTTTCGTTTTTTGGCACTTCCTTTGCCAATTTTTCTCATGGGCCTTGTGACGGCATAAATTGTACACATATTTATTATGGCCTATAATTTTGATAGCGAAAAAGCGTTCCTGGAAGTAAACATTGTTTTGCTGGTGGTCTTAATTTAGTTCGTTGCACCAACGACTCTCATACAGAAGGAATATCTATGCATAAGTTTCCTAAAAAGGAAACAGTTGCTCAAAGGCAAAGAAAATGGACTTATTTTGTTCGCAAAAATAGACCGCAATGGTCGCCTACTTCAAATTCGTTTCTCTGTTCGGTACAATGGAAGATTCTTGCTTTGATCTAGACCAATCTCTTGCCAAGTCACTCGATATGAAAAGATGACTTAAAAATAATGCTGATCCCACTATTGACATGGTGGGAATTGCTCCTACGAGCAATAGAAAACGAATCGCCAAAGGAGAAAATCCGACCTTAGTCTTATCAAGCCAGTACAGATTAAGCTCGTTTAATGAGGCTTGTACAAAAAGACAGCTGCTCCACATTTCTCACTAAACACCTAACAGGTGAAAACAAGAAAAGTTGATCATATAGTATTATTTGACTTGATACGAAACTTTCGTTCTTTCTTCTGTCTCGCTGTTTTTGAACGTTACCTTTCATTTCTGATTTTCAAGAGTAAAGAAGAATCGTTTGCAGTTGTTTCATTTATATGACAAAGTTAATGTCCCTGTGTCCGACTTGCTTTCGAAAGTGGCTTGTTAGTTCACTTTTGTCGTTTTATTATAGTTTTAGTAAATTTGACTTGTTTTTATTACAAAATAAGGAACATGCATAAGGGTCACACGTGTCACACTTTACAATCAGCCGTCATTTATCTGGCAAATTGACTAAGGTGTATCATTATTTGAAACATTAACTTGAGACTAACTATTTAGGAATGACTTCATTTGCCATTTTTTGTGACGCAAAAAAATGTGACAAACCCAAACCAACTCGCTAGAATAATGGTGAACGTGAGGAGAGTTTGCACACCTAAATGACCGTTCTGTTTTAATCACTAATCCATGCCTTTCAGCTATTATTAAGATAAAGCGCACTTTTTCACAGGAAATGAAGCTTGTGCTCAAAACAGCAAAAAAATTTCAAGAAGCCTTTGTAAAATATGCAGAGTGAGGAGTCGGAGTTAAGTTTTACTCAGACAGAGGATATACGTTTTACTCGTACTTATTGATATTATTATTAAGACACTTATCTACTTATATAATTCGCGTTGATTAATAAATTGTTTGAGAAATATAACTGGTTCGTACTATCTTTGTTGCGTGTGGAAATAGAACCAAAATTAATAGTTATTCTTTCGGGACCACGCACTTAACCAGTTTGTAACCTTATCTGATTTATCTTGCTTTTGCTACATTACTTTTTTATAGGCAGCTGTAAATACCCAGCATACGTCATTCTTGTTTAAAAGACTTCAACGTTCCTACCAGGGTAAATGTACCCAACTTGTGACTAATACTGCTAACCATCGCTAAGGCATATTAATAGAGTAGGCCGTTCAGAGAAATTAAGAACCCTGAGCACAATTAAATTTCGGGTGCCCTTCTTTGTGACCCGACGTATATTACATTTTCTTTTTTTTTGTACTTACATTTAAGGGCCCGATCATTATGCCCCACTACCACCACCGCTTTCCCTCTCCCTTAACGCCCATGTATTAGGAAGCTTTTTGGCATTACAAACGCTTTTGATATCGCTCAGCTATGTATATTTTATATAATATAAGCTGTTTATTCACTTTCAACATACACTTCCAGTGGGACCAAATATTGATAACGCTTTAAAGTCTCTCATTTGGCTCTTCAAGACTGCTGATGTATTCGGCTCATTATGACTGCTGATATAATTACAATACCATTGATGTACTTCATCAAGGAATAGTTTACAAGAAGTGGTACTTGTGCTTTCTGGCAAGATGCATGCTATATTAATGCATTAAATAAGGTACCAGTTAATTTATACCATAGTTTTATAGTGCCTTGAGTACTGTTATCTTGAGAATAGTTGAACAATGCTCAATTCCACCACGTACATTGAACCTAGCGATACTCTGCAGCAAGATTTACTTTCATGTTCTATTCCTATTCAATTAGCCTTTTTTAGTCCGTTTTGATATTGTGTATCTTTCTGATTTTTGATTTAGTGAAGTTTAGTTAAATATTGTCATTGGATTATCCTTTTAACATATACCACAGAAACATCTTTTTAGAAGTGTTATTGACAACCTTCTTGTTACAAACATTCAAATATTACATTTATTTCCCATTCTTGTTTTGAGCCGAGACTGATAGGTTTCAGAAAAGATTAAAGATCTAGGAAAACTTTACTCGCAAAATTGACATCTCAATGATTATTTTCCATGTATAAGAGGTATAAGTTAGACATGATTAAATCATAACTCAAATTACAAATAGTGCAACTAGTCTGGTCAGGTAACTCAGGTTACATTGGTAAAGATTTGAGAGCAAATTATATTTTAAAAACACTCTTGTAGTTTGGATTTCATAACTAAAATGCCTTTGCATACCTGCTTGTTGGCAGTTTATGATGTGAAATTATATTGCAATAGATATTCTAGAATAGTTCATACTTCGCCAACAAGCAATTTCATGCACGATGGACATACTCTGTTTACGAGTAGAATTCTATCATATCCATCCTGTCTCGATGATTTTATGATTCATTAGTTTACAGGATTCTACCGTGAGCTGTGCATGCTTAGATCCAGCAAAAACGGAATTCCTCAGTCGAAAGTAGCAAAGTCATGATCCGAATACATTGCGATTTTTAATGTTTTCCAATTTTTCGTTATTCAAGCGACTCCAAGTATACACGACAATTCTCTAAACAATCCATTTTTTTAATTTACATCTCAATACATTAGAATTTTTAGCAGAACGTTGAAATATAACTCATCTCTATCATTTATAAGTACTATATATATACCAGCCAAGGGCGTACTACAGTAATGGCCGCCACCGCAAAACGCAGTGACTTCCGCCTTCAACTTTTATTAACGGTTAGTATTGCGATGCGTTATCCAGTAGTGTTTGCATATCAATGATACTGATGCTCTATTCATACCGGAAGATTTTTTTCATATTGTATCCAAAAATTCCTTTATTCCCCACAGCTTTATAACTGTTTCAAGCCATCTCAAAGTAGACTCTGTGTTTTCTATGGTATTAAAAACTATTTAACAAATGTTTCGAATTACCTCTAATAATTTCAGTTCTTTTAATGTACTCAGTTCGAAGTTGAATTAGTTGCATCTGGTTTAAATAATAACTATTAAAAGATTAAAATTTTTCCAAGGCCTAGATAATTTTTAAACAGTCAGTCAAATCAGTATATATATACGTTTATCCCTCCAAGACATATTGTCAAGTGATATTGCTTCAATTATAAGGCTCATTTGTGCAAGAATATAAGATCTAACACCATTATCAGTTTGAAAAATATAGTATAAAACAAATTCCGAAAAAACAATACATCTTGAGATTGCAAAATATGAATCAAAAACAAAACAAGAAGTGAACTGTAAATTATCAGTTTTTGTCAACTTTTTTCATGTTAAAGTTTCATTTGGCATAAAAGTTTTAAGTAGTCTAGCACTATTTGCACATACCAGAGTCTGTTGTACTTTGGTAAGGATTGATGATTCTACTAAGTCATCAGTCGACGTCACGACGGAGCCACTCGAGAAGCTCGTGCTTCACTGATCAATGTTAGCGAATTTGATGATCAGGAAAGACGAACAGAATACCTTGCGATCAACTTGAAAGATTTGGTGGAAAAGGGGATAGGTCAGATAAAGTGAATCGGTGTACTAAACAATGAAGTGATTAATAATCATACTGAATTTCCTTTCATGGCTTCATTAGCAATCATGGCTCATAACGATAAAAACTCTTCGTCGTCGACCAGACTGAACGATAATGACAAATTATCACAGAACATTACACAGTCCGAAACCTTGTCTATAGCCCAAACATTAGTTGAAATAAACCAGACCATGGGGAAAATGTCACAAGTGCTGAAAGCCATGTGGTAACAATCTTAGGGAAAATCCAGTCCACAAATTCAACAAATAGACAATGGAAACCCACAACGAAAAAGAAAGAAACGCGGGAGGACTATTTCCTCTTCTTCCTTTGAGTACTTTAGTGACCACGATAACAGCGAAGACGATAGCCGAAACGACTAGCAAAGGAGAAAATCTTGAAAGAGCAACACTAGCCTTGAAACAAGCGACTGTGACGAGGACAGAATTGGTGCTCATGATAACGATGATCATGTCGATGACAATTTATCAGCATTACTGGTTGGCAATTCCTACACCGATAAAATACATTCCAATTAATCCGAGGACACACTCAAATCAAATGTCTTGGTGAAGGGTATGAAGAAGCTGAGCCTACATGTGGTGATATCAAACAACAGCTGGCTGAGATAGTAAAAAAACGTTGGCACAAAAAGCTCGGTTATGAAAAATTGGCATTGACTTAGAACAAGCATAAACGATCTGCCAACTGCCCAAAGGCATGTATGAGGACTATAAATGCTGAAATATGGTCTAAGCTTCCATAGTATCAGCAACGAGCTGATTTGAATGTCGCGAATATTCAAGAGACAGTTAGGAAGATTGCTCTCATTTCAATCGAAATGGCTCAAGCTTGAAGCGACACAAAGACAAGCAAGCTTGATATAAAGAAACTATTGACTCAACAAGTCGAATGTATAGCTCTGATAAAATAAATGGTTTGAACCCGGGAGTATCGTTACATGTTTGTAAATGATGATCGTCCAGGTTAATAAAGTCCTGAGAAGGACTGTTTTTGTTGTTGTTGACTGACGTTTCGACAACCTTAACGGTAATCACCTTCAGAGTCA